AGTCTTACGGCAATGTCTCTCACTGAAAGGCGTGCCGAGTAATTTTACATCACCTTATTGAAGTATGTCTACTCGAACACTTGTGGGCATGTTAGGGCCTATGGTGAGATGTCCGGGAAGCTGTTCTCATCGAGTGGTATCCATCAAGGGTGCCCACTCTCCATTCTTATTCAATTTTATCCTAGATATTTTTATGGAGGTCTCCCTCTCGTCATCTGACTACACAGAGATTGACCTAATCGCAGGACAATTTTCGTTAGACGTAGAATAGGCAGATGACATAGTGCTGTTAGGTGAAGACGGTGACATGATGCAGAGTCTTCTGAACACTTTGAGTGGGAATTTGAGAGTGTTTGGGATGCGGCTCTCACCACCCAAATGGAAATGTTTGCTCCAGGAATGGTCTTCAGCGGTGCCACGGCTAACAATAGAGAGTGAAGTGGTTGAGTATGTCGACCACTTCACTTACTAGGAAGTAGGATCAGCCCTGGTGGCCCAGTGGCCGATGAAATCTCTGCACGGATACAAAATGCCCGACTGGGTTTCGCCAACTTACACCACCTATGGCGCTGTCGTGATATCCGATTGTCTATTAAGGGTCTTGTACACTGCACAGCAGTCCACTCTGTTCTACTGTATGGCTGTGAAACGTGGTCACTGGAGGTGGAAGATATGAGAAGGCTTCAGGTGTTTGACTATCGTTGCCTTCGTAGTATAGGTCGTATTCCGTGGTGTCACCATATGAGTAACGCAGAAGTCAGGTGTAGAGTTTTAGGCAGAATAAGTAAATCAGTTGACGAGGTTATGAACCTTCATCGACTGAGATGGTTGGGACACGTACTACGTATGCCTAGTCACCGTCTGCCTCATTGGCCGAAGAAGGTCGAGGCTGGAAAAAGGCTAGAGGTGGTCAGGCTAAAACATGGCATCCATGTATGAAGTTTTGACTGTTAGTTTGAACCATGTGGGGCGGTGCAGACTAGGTGGTTGGGGTCCACGGGACAAGAGGAACCAGTGGTTGGAGACCCTAGGTGATATGGCTCAGAACCGATGTCAGTGGAGCAGATGTATACACATATTATCCTCATCTCTTAACACTATACCGATCCTCACGATTTTGTCACCCTTCATTTCTTTCTTCTCGTACTTTATATTTCTTTTGACTGAATTTCCTTATCTTCATCTTTCACCTCACTACCTTTCTACTTGATGTACTGATATGAGCTGTGGTAACTCTGACCGTTACTCAGTAATGCCTGGTCCTTTGTTGATATTGATGATGATGATGATGATGATGAGACAGTTTCTGTATCAACGCTGTTTTTCGAGAGGCGAAGCACTTACTACTCATTTCTGTGTAGTTTTCACACTTGCCCCACTATAATGTCAGTTTCTCGGTCTTCACTAGTCACTTTTTGATTCATTAGCCGCGTGGTTGCCGTAGTCAGCTTACTGATGCCCCTTGGTTGTGCGGCGTTAACTTTATGCGGTCACTGTGTGGTGGCTGAGGGCAGACCTTTGATAAACTGGGAAGCAAGGAACTGTACTCTACACTCTTGACGAGGAAGGACAACGTTCAGCTTAGCATATTTTTCAATGCTACTTCCAATCCCAGTGGGTCACAGCCCATCTCTAGCTTCGTGCCTCAGAATCTCTGTAGGGCTTCCTGTCTATCTACCTGGCTAGCAAAACCCACGACCAACCGGTCGATATCAACCTTCCACGGCGCGGTGCTGTCAGCTTGCTCCATGCAGCCAGATGTCGTCTTTGCTATCACACTCAAGAGCATCCTGAAATCAACACCTCCGCCTATATGGTCTGGAAGCTCATCAGCTCTGAGATGATCTTGAAGTCCTTGAGAAAGCTCCCCATATCCCAATCCAGGAACCCTTGAGACCATGATACCTGCATCTTTTTTGGAGGTAGTGAATAAAGTTGTAGAAGTAACAAGTGTAAGAACTGATGAAATCATTTATTGGGAAAGTGCACAGGGTTTTTGTGAAAACCCTTTGTGAAAATCTTTCATTGAACATGTCTCATGTAAAACTTCACTTCATTCCAAATCTAAAATGAATGGGTCTCCACTTTTCTGCTTCTTGTTATAGTGTGCAGAAAGGCTGACGAAATCTTCATAAGAAGCTACATACCCCTAAAGGCTTTTTCAACCAATCACTTTGATTCGAAATTTTAGGAAGAAACACATGAATCGACGTGCAAGTACCAGGCTGGTTAAAGAGATGAAAAATCAGTATAATTTAAACCTAGTAGACCTGGAAGTAGCCAAGGACCATTGTAATATATATAAGCCTTGTAATTTTTGTATATTGTTGACGTTACCGTTGATGTCGTAAATATACCTTTCGTTTTATTACTGCTTTCTCTAATTACGGAAAAACTGAGTGACCATTAAAGATGGAATCTGAAGGTTCTATCATAGTCACTGGTAAAGATATATAAAAGTGGCGACTGGAGCTATATAAAAGTCGTTCTTCACTCGCTCTTGGTATTTGCTTCCAACGTTTCTCATTTCTGTCTTCAGAAACTCTGACGAATAAATGAGAAGTTTACTTCCTCTTCATAGGGATTAAATGCTATTTACTACTAAAATTTACTTGGTAGTATCAAAACACGTATAAAAATACTACTACTACCACCACCACCTCTGTTGTCTCTTATTCATCATTTCATAGATTATCCTATTGTTTGAGAACGCTTAAGATTACAGTCTTTGAAACTAAATAGGAATTTGTTGCACTGTTGTTTCTCTTGGGAACAGAGCTTCCTTCATCTGTCTATTTCATGTCTATTTCAGCTGTACACATTTCTTATTGGGTCTCGTCATCCTGCGATTTAAGTTTGTTACTGTTTTTATTCGACAATGATTTTCCGTAAATTTCAATTTGTATACACCTAAAGCAAAGCTATTAAGTTAATAAATGAGAAGCATTCTTTAATCCCGTATATCCCAGTGTTGTCATTACTTTAACAATTATGTTATGAATTTATTCTTGTTTTTGAACTTACCTACCACTGCTTTTTTGGTAGGTGCTCAAGGAATACGATTTTCTTTGATGTAAATAATTTGTCCTCTTTTTCAGTTTCAAATTTCATGTAGTCTGAGAAGTCTGAAGTCATCTGTTTTTAAGAAAATTTGTTCCATTAATAATTGCCTATGAGCTTTAAAGTCTCAGGGTCAAAATAATAATTGTATTTTTGATAAAAGAAACCTAATCATGAACTTTTAGAAGATATCAATGACTCATTGACATAGCGGCTACGTATGGATAACAAACCTACGTTTTTGATTGTTTAGAGTAAACGGAAAAGTTCTACTCTACTAAGGTATCCTGAACTAGGTTGAGAATATGTCTTTCAGTGGTAACATTTTCTTTAAATTATCTGCAGCTCTAAGCAGTTTATGAGCATAGTAAGTCGATAGTAGAGGTGAACAGATTACTGAAAAGGGATAAAAAATTTTATATATCGGTCCGAAAACTCAATAAAAGTGTTGTCTATTTGAATTTGAGACAAGTAGTAATACTTGTGATAACAAACTACACAGGATTCGCAGATGCTCACAAAAAAATTAACTGAAATTGAATTACCTACATGAAGTTGGATCTCACCCTCACTGCAGAGATAAGAGCAATAATTTGGGTAACGGAGGGAATTGAAAAATAACACTTGAAATTCCCTTTGTTTAAGGTCACCTTAGAAGTTATATGTGAAGAGAGAATAATTTTTCATACTAGGTGATGACTGAAGGTGAAATGAAGAGTTGAGCCACAGGACTCGAACCAGCAACCACTGGGTTCCCAGATCTCTGCTCTACCAACTGAGCTACGAGACCCGAATCCCAACCATATTTATTTCATTTCAATCACCAATCTTTCTGCCTAACTACCACATGAATTCATGATGCGTAAATACCGTTTGACCATATTCACACTTTCTGAATAAATTTGTGTCAGACTCTACAGACGAAAAATCTAATTCGTTAACATGATATCTCCAGAAATTGTAGTGACTGCAGTTTAAAATGGATACGAAATTAGAATTAAATCGACTTAAGTTCGCACACGATAGCGTGGCTTAAATATGTACTTCAGTTGCTCTGATATGCTTATTGGATAGCGATGGTTTATCAGTCGCAGTAGATGCATGCAGTATAGGCAGTAGAAACTGCATGAAAAAATAGGTGGATATTTTACCGTGAAGTTTTCATGGTGTGGAACGATAGTTTTATAAATGATATTGCATTTTACATGTTTATTCGAATAGAGGTGTGAAAGTATAAGGAAATCAGGTAAATTTATCTTTAGATAAAAGAACTTGGTCGAAATTGAAACAAAACAGGTATATGGGGAATTGGGAATGTTATTTAGTCAGTGGATGGCCAGTAGAAGAGATATCCTCGAACATATTCTTTCTGAACGCAGAGATTATGCTCAGTTGACTTGGCATTCACATCTTCAACTTTATGACATAATTTCCTTCCTCTTCGACCCCATCTATGTTGGACAAAATCATGAGTCAGACTTCATTCACAGGTTAGATACAGCCTTAGGAACTACGGAATAAGTGAAATCGACTATAGCAACATGTTTCATTCGAGAATGTTTCGCTGAATCTGCAGTGTCTACTAAAAAATATGCTAAGTGCATGAATTTTCACTCAGCTGGTCAGGGCTATCTGTGATGTGGTTCCTAATCGTTAACAATGGCACATATGTGTACACTAATTGTCATCTTCACAGTTCTGAAAACTTTCATCAACCTTAATCTCTTGAAATAAAACCTCAATCTTGTTTGTACATAACTTGTTCAGTTAAAAATGTGGTATAGTTAAGATGAGTTCAGTACTGAGCTGGATTTTATGTTAATTCAGTAAAGCAATTAAATACCCACTTTCATAACAGCATTGTCTGTTAAACAAAAATAGCACAAACTGAATTAAAAATGAGCGATGCAAGGACCACTGGAATTAACTTAATGATTTACCTGATACAGAGAATATTCTGGCAAATTCTCTTCATAATTCCCAATACAGTTAGCATCTTTTACAGATGATGATGATGACGACGATTTGTCTACTTTCATTCCAAAGCCAAATAATTTAGAGAAAGGCTTCTTCGTATTCTTCTGATCAAGTGGTTCCCTATCGTTCATCAGCTGTTTATCTCTATTAATATCCAACTTTTCTTCTTTTTTAGAATTTTTCTTACTGATTTGAAATTTTTTCGAATTATCTTTCGCATCATTTCTCGTATAAACATGATTAACAGAACTGTTATCATCGATTGTCTCATGAGTGTTTGTGGAATTTAGTGAACTTGGCGAAGTGCACGTAATTTCACGACCATCAATATCATCTATATCATTGTCACCAGTATTATTATCATATTTCCATTCTGCTTTCATTGATGAGTACTTGACTTCATTCAATTCATTAATATTCGGTAATGGGGGACGACCTAGATAGACTGCCCACCAAAACCAAAGGATTAAACTCACTGCAGCATGGAATAGTGCTCGACCAAAAAAGAAACTAGGAAAAAGCTACTCAATACACTGATACCTGAGCATAGGCCGACTGTACCACCCAAATTACTAATCAAATTAAATAATGTTTCTGTCAGTTCTTCTTCCCATGCATCGATCAGCTCTGTTGAGATGCGTATATTCACTATGATCAAATTCATGGATGAAAGACGAAATTCATTACAATCAGTTGATGTTTTTGAGAACGGCGTATCTGGCCCCATTTTATACCACAGTGTTTGCAATTCAGGAAACTGTAGTTTACTTGTTTCCAAGGCTTTTATATAATGAGATATAATCGTCACTGGCAGCGTCATTTCAGCTCCTAATTCTGTGATTTCAAAAATCGTGTTGAATAGATTCTCTAAGATTTTCATGTAAGAAGAGAAAGAAAAAAATTACTCCTAGTAATTACATTAACATCTTTTTAACGGAACTTTAAAATCAGCCTCGTCTTATGAAAACTGAGTTGATTCATGAAACTGGATTGATGTACAAAATACTGACATTTGGAACGATATTGCACGTAGACTCACATACATAGTGATGACTCTGCTATCATGCAACCGCACTCAGTCAACAGGTTTCAAGAGAATAACGCGAATACCATATTGCAGTGTTTCTAGAAACAGCTGGAAACTATTTGTTTCAATCCGGAAAAAATGCAGTTTTAATTCTGTTGAAGAACAGAAAATGAACAAATATCAGATTAACGAACCTGAATAATAAAATCCTGGTTACTATGAATAGATTTCAGAGAACAACTAGAATTAACACCTAAGTCAGCTAGTGCTACACACAACAATATACCTGCTCACATAGTCATATGTCCCAATAGTACTACAAGAATACGAAGCAAAAAATCAAAAGACTCGAGATAACCAAAACAACACAAAAGAATACTCATGATCAGTGTACAGAAACCCCACAAACTTAAAAAGCGCACTAGTTACTGGACGGTTCTAAGCCCAGATAAAGAGGGAAGGTTGGGCATACGGCTAGCAACCCTTCACCGTAAAACAAATCCAATCGCTAAACAAACTTCAAAGCACAAAGAAATTATAAAGAATAAAAACAAACTTATTCCTCGCTGGAATCGGAGATGCGAAATGACGCCGGTTGGTGAAAACCTCAGCGAAGCCAGTCGGCCAACGTGTCTCCTCTCTCTCCCTCTCTCCCTCTCTCTCTCTCTCTCTCACACACACACACACACTCTCTCTCTGTCTCGATGAAAGCGAAAGTAAGGATGGGCACATGGAATGTCCGCAAAATCTTTTAAGCTAGCAGGCAAGGATGTCCAGATTGCAAAAGACATGAGGAGGTATGGAATGCAAGTGGACCCTCCCAACTGTGAACTGGAGAGGAGTCAATAATCTACTCCGATATTGTCACCCAGACGACAACCACGAGCACATTGAGTTTCGCAGTGGCTATCACGATGTCTCCAAGGCTCTCTCTCTCTCTCTTTCTCTCTCGCGTGCAGTGGGAACCAATCTCCTACTCCTACAGGATCAGAATCATGACAGCAAGATTCAACTCAAAATGAAGGAAAGTCACAATCACACAATGCTACGCTACACTTCGCACCTACAAATCATGCAGATGAAGAGGAGAAGGAGGAAGTCCACAGACAACTGCAATCAGCACTGGACAAGACCCCATCTGAATTGGTGATGGCGACATCAAAATTCTAACGGATGGGGTGACACGAATGCCAGCCAAACTGGGAGCAGACAACAGAGGAAGAGAACTAACCATGGGTCGAGAAGCACTCGGTGAAATGAACGAGTATGGAGAACTGTTTGCAGACTTCTGTGATTGGAGTCAGGCAGTGTGTACAAATGCAAGCATATTCACGAGGCAGCGACATGGATTTGATTTCACCAGACACCAGGATGCACTACACTAAAAATCAGATCGACTACATCTCAATGTGAAGAAAGCGGAGACACAGCCAGCCTACTAGACACAAGATCAGATGAAGAAGGGGAGCAGATGTAGATTCACATCACTCACTATCCAGTGCAAACAACCCACCTTCAAAATCAAGCTGAAAGCCTTCGAGGAAGAAGCTGGTGATAGACCACAGTTCAAGTTCAACAACCATCCAGAACAGAAATTGAATTGAGGGACGAAACTACAAGGAACATCTTCACGTCAGTCAGCCATCAGAATGAAATTGGAGACATTGAGCAACATACCTGAAGAATGGGGTGTGGAAGAACACTGGAACTCTTTGAAAGCTATGTGGAAAGGAACCTACACAACCGTATTAGGAAGGAAGAGGAAACAAGTCAAGAAGAGGAGTGGATGTCGACAGACACATGGAAGCTGATAGAGCAGGGAGACGGAGAGGGAGAGGGAGAGGAAGATGGTGAAGCAGAAGATGGAGATGAAGCAGTGCAGTGCAGTGCAGTGCAGTGCAGTGCAGTGCAGTGCAGTGCAGTGCAGTGCAGGGATGAACAACGAAAAGAGGAACTGAACACAACCGACAAAACACTACACTGGACAAAGAAGTGAAGAAGAGTGGGTGGAAAGACAAAAGATACTTCTACGACACACTGGCAAGTGAAACAGAACAGGCTGCAGGTAGGAGGGACAGAGACCTGACAACATTATATCAAATGACCATGTTACTTACTGTCTGTGAGGGGAGAGGTCAACGCAGACGAAAGCAATGAAAGATAGTGAAGGGAAGTGAAGGGAAGCTAGTTATTGAAGAGGGGAAACAAGGGAAATGATGGGTTGGCAACTTCAAAAAGCTATTGAATCAATAACCACCACCAACTGCACTTCGTCCAGAAATACCACTTGCAGCCGCCGAACTACAAGTGAACATAAATCCTCCAACAAAAATGGAAGTCCTGAACGCCATAAAATTGTTGAAATGTGGTAAAGCAGCAGGACCATATGGAATTCTTCCTGAAGCACTGAGAACAGACACAGAGACAACAACCAACATGCTCACACCACACCAATATTGCAGAAGGTGTAGAAGGAAGAGAAGGTACCTGTCGATTGGAAGAAGGGTTACCTTGTCAAACTCCCGAAGAAGGGAGACCTCAGTGTTTGCAAGAACTGACGCGGAATCACTCTCCTGTCCACTCCAAGTAAAATATTAAGCCGCATCATCCTGGAGAGGCTTAAGGATGCACTGGACTCAAAACTACTACCGGAACAGGCAGGCTGGCTTCAGGAAGTACAGATCATGTGCAGACCAAATTGCAACGCTTTGCATCATCATAGAATAGAGTATAGAATGACAATCAGCTCTCTACCTCAACTTTATCGACTTTGAGAAAGCCTTTGACAGCGTCGACCGACAAATAATTTGGAAACGGCTTCATTAGTACGGAGTACCGCAAACCTTTATCAATCTCATTCAACAACTATATGAAGATGCCACATGCCAGGTGATTCATAATGGGAAGCTCAATGATGCTTTTGAAGTGAAGACAGGAGTGAAACAAGGCTGTCTACTATCACCCATGATATTCCTGATTGTGGTCGACTGGACTGGATCATGCAACAAACCGTGAGGAGCGAGAAGAGGGGAATACGCTGGACCGCGGAAAAGAACCTAGAAGACTTGGATTTCGCCGATGACTTGTGTCTGATGTCGCACAAACTTGAAGATCTACAGGCGAAAACTAACAAGTTGACAGAAGAGGCATGGTAGCGAAGACGAGACTTCAAGTGAATGTGGAGAAGACACAGGTGATGAAGATACCCAACCAACAACAAGAACAACAACAAGCTCCAATCACCACTAACGGGAGAAACTTAAGGGAAGTAGCCTCCTTCACCTATCTGGGAAGCACTGTTTCAACTACAGGTGTCACAGACAGGGACGTCAAAGTCGGGGTCGGAAAGACAGCAAGACAGGCGTTGATTAGCCTGAAACCAGTGTGGAGATCTTCTGCTCTCAGCATAAAGCGTGAACAACATCCGGATTTTCAACACCAACATCAAGTCAGTGCTTCCGTGTGATGCTTCAGAGACCTGGCACGTTACGAAAGGGATTTCCAATAAACTACAAGCATTCATCAACAGCTGCCTATGCTGGCTCGATACTGAAGCTCAGATGGCCTGAATAATGGGAAAAAGCAACAAGGAACTCACTCTGACCGGCCAACGAACCAACCAACCAAGAAGCTATCGCTGAACAAATATGCACTGGAAGGAAGTGGAAATGGATTGTGCATATACTGAGAAGGCCGACTGGGGACATCATGCGTCATGCCAGGCCCTCAAGTGGAACCTGCATGGGAAGCGACGAGTTGGGCGTCCGAGGGGAAGGTGACATGGAGGAGGTCGTGCGAGGAGGAAATGAGAGCTTGTGGGGAGTGATGGAGCCAGGTTGAAAAGATTTCAGAGAAGAGAGCTCATTAGAGACGTGCTACTGAAGCTCTATGTTCCATTAGGAACCCAAGTGACAAATAATAATGATAATGAATAAATAGTGAATTTCTTACTTCATTGACACTCTTTGAATCACTTAGTCTAACTTAACAACCTGATGACTATATGCCCTTTCGGTCACCAACTCTGACAAGATTTAAAAAACCAATCATAGATTTCATTAGTTTGTTATATAATGTTCACCTTTTTCAGATCAGATTTGTATGTGATGGATGTATGTATCCGACTGAAGCACAGTAAAATCAGTTTCAAAATGGAAAGTTAGTGATGTAGATCCTTTAATTACATTTCTTTGTTTATTTTTCATCTCATGATCTCTCACACGTTGGTTACATTAGTGACAGATATGGAATCTAGTTTTCTTATGAATAATTTAAGACTGCATCATTTCCGAACTCATTCCTTGCTGTAAATTTTGGGTCTTATCTTAAAAATTCACAATTCTCACTTGCTTTAGACTTTTCATTTTAAACTTTTAAGTGTCGGTTTGATGTTCAGATTACTCTGATTTGACTGGCGAAATCCACAGATCAGCCTAAGTGACTTCGAACTACTCAAGCTATTCAGTAGTAGTATATTTCGCTAATGGACTAAATGACGAAAATTTTCAAAATTTCATTTATGCTTATGTAGCTAAATTGTTACCTTTTTATCATTAACCTGAATAATAACTTAACGACAGTTCATTAAAAAGTGTGATTACTTGTTTTACTTATTCAAATTGTATTATTTATTCCATTTTCTTTGGAATGTTGTTTGTCATTTTCTAAAATAAACCGGAATGCAACGGAACACTTAATCCCACGATTTTCAGTTTATCGACAGAATACCCGTAAATCGACGGGACTTTTTCATTTGATTTTCTGAAGTAAACGACCCATCACTGTTCTGAATTCTTTAAGGGAGGAAAAAGTTCATCTCGACTTGCCTGTTTCCACTTTTCTCGAAATAATGAACTGATCATTCCTCTGATGCAGATACATAATATGTAATGTACAGGTTTTGTTGTAACAAAGGAAGATGGTATAGTTCACAAGATAGCTGGGTGAGGACATAGCAGCAATCCGTGATGGTTTGTAGGGGAACTCAGACCGTGAGCTTCATACTGTTTGGAACTTATCGGTTGGGTGAATCTGGATCCCAGTGAGTGGTAGTTTATCAATAACAAGTGTAAATAAATCAGCACTCGCTTAGCTACAGTCTGAGGTTTTAAGGAATCAAGACAACTTAAAAGTTGTATCCGTCAGCTGTCTTTCCTGATTTCAAAACCTATTATTGAGTAGTTCAAACTAAGTCTTTTAAAGGAATAGACTCATGACCTTCAAGTATCTGATTCCCTAATCATGAAAAACATTGGAATTATATCTCAAGTTAGTGAATTATTCTCCAAACCCCTTATCTCTATCGTCTGTTCATCGACAAATCATCGGCAATTTACAACCTTTGTGCCTACAACCATTACATTCATTCTTCTGCCGTTAAAAACTTTCTCTTTTACCCTTGAACATCATGGTAATTACGTATCCCTACTGATTAACAACAGACTATTATTTGTTTTAAATGATTTCGAATAAGACTTTACAGCTTTAGCAAATGAAATCGTCGACAAAAGAATTTTCCTTGCCGTCTTGTCTTCATTTTATTACGAATTTGGGGAACTTTCGTTCGTTTAAGGAAGTATTGGCTGATATTAGTTGGAAATTATGACTAGTTGTTGGATAGATCATTTACCAATCAAGTTATCTTACTCATGTTAAACCTTTTTAATATTCTGATCTTGGTTACAAGCATTCTGGAATCCATGAAGTCACTGACTGTTACTTCAGGCTATGTATTGAAGCTCAGGATACCCAACTGGAGTTTCTGAGGTTTCAGTGATGGCTAGTTGATGATTCTCAGGGATGCGACTCAAAACAACCACATTGATACAGATGCATTCACTCTTTATCATAAGGATTCTGAAAATTGTATTAGATCCATAGTAACTGAAAATAAACTTCGGTTGATAAACATTTTCCGAAATATTTTTGACATAACTTACTTTTTCGCAGAGCAGTGAGCAAACTTTGTGTCTTTGAACCTTTCTAGCATCCAAGTTATTCCTTGTGGCGTACAGTTTGTCTAGTGGTACAAACTTGTCTAATACAGATGTTGTCGGCATTTGCTGATATTGTTCAAAACATAAAAATTCATTCCGTAGACGTGTGATGTTTTATGCCGGATATCGCGACAGAAATGAAACGACTTCGGTTGTGAGCTACCTTCACTGAATTTATGATGATCATTTTTTTCATAATCAGTGTTATAACTACCTTTATTTGTTGATCCATTCTTTGCGGAAGCACGAAATGGTACAAATAAATGGTCAGAATAACAATTACACTTCTCATATATGTAACGTTGCTTCATATTGGCAATACAATCTTCATAGGTGTACCGATATTCTAAATAGTTCGCACCACCACGAAAATTTGCATAACTTTTGGGTTGAATGTGAATAATAAACATAGGGAAAAAACAGGAACAAATATTACTAAAATATTCCAACCGTCGTTGTGATCATAGGCAAATATTTTGCTTGAAATATTACCAAAACAAATCTCACCTATTTAATTAGTTCACTAGCCGATCCAAGCCCAGATAAAGAGGGAAGGTTGGGCATACGGCTAGCAACCCTTCACCGTAAAACAAATCCAATCGCTAAACAAACTTCAAAGCACAAAGAAATTATAAAGAATAAAAACAAACTTATTCCTCGCTGGAATCGGAGATACGAAATGACGCCGGTTGGTGAAAACCTCAGCGAAGCCAGTCGGCCAACGTGTCTCCTCTCTCTCCCTCTCTCCCTCTCTCTCTCTCTCTCTCACACACACACACACACTCTCTCTCTGTCTCGATGAAAGCGAAAGTAAGGATGGGCACATGGAATGTCCGCAAAATCTTTTAAGCTAGCAGGCAAGGATGTCCAGATTGCAAAAGACATGAGGAGGTATGGAATGCAAGTGGACCCTCCCAACTGTGAACTGGAGAGGAGTCAATAATCTACTCCGATATTGTCACCCAGACGACAACCACGAGCACATTGAGTTTCGCAGTGGCTATCACGATGTCTCCAAGGCTCTCTCTCTCTCTCTTTCTCTCTCGCGTGCAGTGGGAACCAATCTCCTACTCCTACAGGATCAGAATCATGACAGCAAGATTCAACTCAAAATGAAGGAAAGTCACAATCACACAATGCTACGCTACACTTCGCACCTACAAATCATGCAGATGAAGAGGAGAAGGAGGAAGTCCACAGACAACTGCAATCAGCACTGGACAAGACCCCATCTGAATTGGTGATGGCGACATCAAAATTCTAACGGATGGGGTGACACGAATGCCAGCCAAACTGGGAGCAGACAACAGAGGAAGAGAACTAACCATGGGTCGAGAAGCACTCGGTGAAATGAACGAGTATGGAGAACTGTTTGCAGACTTCTGTGATTGGAGTCAGGCAGTGTGTACAAATGCAAGCATATTCACGAGGCAGCGACATGGATTTGATTTCACCAGACACCAGGATGCACTACACTAAAAATCAGATCGACTACATCTCAATGTGAAGAAAGCGGAGACACAGCCAGCCTACTAGACACAAGATCAGATGAAGAAGGGGAGCAGATGTAGATTCACATCACTCACTATCCAGTGCAAACAACCCACCTTCAAAATCAAGCTGAAAGCCTTCGAGGAAGAAGCTGGTGATAGACCACAGTTCAAGTTCAACAACCATCCAGAACAGAAATTGAATTGAGGGACGAAACTACAAGGAACATCTTCACGTCAGTCAGCCATCAGAATGAAATTGGAGACATTGAGCAACATACCTGAAGAATGGGGTGTGGAAGAACACTGGAACTCTTTGAAAGCTATGTGGAAAGGAACCTACACAACCGTATTAGGAAGGAAGAGGAAACAAGTCAAGAAGAGGAGTGGATGTCGACAGACACATGGAAGCTGATAGAGCAGGGAGACGGAGAGGGAGAGGGAGAGGAAGATGGTGAAGCAGAAGATGGAGATGAAGCAGTGCAGTGCAGTGCAGTGCAGTGCAGTGCAGTGCAGTGCAGGGATGAACAACGAAAAGAGGAACTGAACACAACCGACAAAACACTACACTGGACAAAGAAGTGAAGAAGAGTGGGTGGAAAGACAAAAGATACTTCTACGACACACTGGCAAGTGAAACAGAACAGGCTGCAGGTAGGAGGGACAGAGACCTGACAACATTATATCAAATGACCATGTTACTTACTGTCTGTGAGGGGAGAGGTCAACGCAGACGAAAGCAATGAAAGATAGTGAAGGGAAGTGAAGGGAAGCTAGTTATTGAAGAGGGGAAACAAGGGAAATGATGGGTTGGCAACTTCAAAAAGCTATTGAATCAATAACCACCACCAACTGCACTTCGTCCAGAAATACCACTTGCAGCCGCCGAACTACAAGTGAACATAAATCCTCCAACAAAAATGGAAGTCCTGAACGCCATAAAATTGTTGAAATGTGGTAAAGCAGCAGGACCATATGGAATTCTTCCTGAAGCACTGAGAACAGACACAGAGACAACAACCAACATGCTCACACCACACCACTATTGCAGAAGGTGTAGAAGGAAGAGAAGGTACCTGTCGATTGGAAGAAGGGTTACCTTGTCAAACTCCCGAAGAAGGGAGACCTCAGTGTTTGCAAGAACTGACGCGGAATCACTCTCCTGTCCACTCCAAGTAAAATATTAAGCCGCATCATCCTGGAGAGGCTTAAGGATGCACTGGACTCAAAACTACTACCGGAACAGGCAGGCTGGCTTCAGGAAGTACAGATCATGTGCAGACCAAATTGCAACGCTTTGCATCATCATAGAATAGAGTATAGAATGACAATCAGCTCTCTACCTCAACTTTATCGACTTTGAGAAAGCCTTTGACAGCGTCGACCGACAAATAATTTGGAAACGGCTTCATTAGTACGGAGTACCGCAAACCTTTATCAATCTCATTCAACAACTATATGAAGATGCCACATGCCAGGTGATTCATAATGGGAAGCTCAATGATGCTTTTGAAGTGAAGACAGGAGTGAAACAAGGCTGTCTACTATCACCCATGATATTCCTGATTGTGGTCGACTGGACTGGATCATGCAACAAACCGTGAGGAGCGAGAAGAGGGGAATACGCTGGACCGCGGAAAAGAACCTAGAAGACTTGGATTTCGCCGATGACTTGTGTCTGATGTCGCACAAACTTGAAGATCTACAGGCGAAAACTAACAAGTTGACAGAAGAGGCATGGTAGCGAAGACGAGACTTCAAGTGAATGTGGAGAAGACACAGGTGATGAAGATACCCAACCAACAACAAGAACAACAACAAGCTCCAATCACCACTAACGGGAGAAACTTAAGGGAAGTAGCCTCCTTCACCTATCTGGGAAGCACTGTTTCAACTACAGGTGTCACAGACAGGGACGTCAAAGTCGGGGTCGGAAAGACAGCAAGACAGGCGTTGATTAGCCTGAAACCAGTGTGGAGATCTTCTGCTCTCAGCATAAAGCGTGAACAACATCCGGATTTTCAACACCAACATCAAGTCAGTGCTTCCGTGTGATGCTTCAGAGACCTGGCACGTTACGAAAGGGATTTCCAATAAACTACAAGCATTCATCAACAGCTGCCTATGCTGGCTCGATACTGAAGCTCAGATGGCCTGAATAATGGGAAAAAGCAACAAGGAACTCACTCTGACCGGCCAACGAACCAACCAACCAAGAAGCTATCGCTGAACAAATATGCACTGGAAGGAAGTGGAAATGGATTGTGCATATACTGAGAAGGCCGACTGGGGACATCATGCGTCATGCCATACATAGATATATCCTTTTAAACCACCGATCAGTTGAACCTTTAGAATAAACTGATGATTTCATCCGTCAATGTCTAATTATTTTCTTCAGAAACTGCCTACTTGGTCATTGAGGGCATTATCTCTCGGTATCTAAAACTCACTTCTATGCACGAAAGTAATATTTTGAATCTGTTACTTAATGTATAAATAATGCACAACGTCATACTAATAGTAAATTACGTCGTTTCATTATCTGGAGTGACTGAAACTAGCCTAAAGGGTTTTGATTCTGTCAGATATATTCGTAACGTATCTGAATAGGCAACAGATAGCACTCATCACCACTGTAAAGGGATTCCTTCTGAAGCATGTTCATGAAGAATTCACTTAAGAATTCCAAGACAAAAAGTTGAAAAAAGCGAATGCTGGAGTCACGCTTAAAACTCCAGAGTTAAAATACGGGTCTGCTTAACGTACTATGATAATAATGATGAATAATGGAGGTGAACAATAGTGTTACTGGTGTTTGTTACACATCTAAATGGCAAATGCAAGTAATGCATCAATAAATAAAGTAAACAGCTAAAGGTTGTCTGTAACTGAAAGTAGTTGAGAATGAAAAATTTGTGAAGCCCCAGTTAAGCAGAAGTGATAAACATAAACGAACATCTAATAAATGATAATACACTCAAGAAGCAAATTGGTGAGAGTAAAATACAGCAAGAAAATGATAAGAAAAGCTGTCATGGATATCGTGACTTGGTGGCCTGGTGGATAACGCTTTGGTCTTTGAAGCGGTCGATCCCAAGTCCCAGCCTTAGTGGGAACAACATCACCCACTGGAAGGTGAGTACGTCCATCTGACGAGTCCCAAATAGGACGAAATCCTCCCTTGGATTCCAGTGCTAGCCAGGTGCCATCATTACTACCAAGTTGAAACGATAAGCAATATCGAGGCCTCCACACGGGAGCCTATGTCCCAATAGAGACCGATAAGTTCGCTCCAATCAACTACGGGATAGTACAAGACATGAAATGTTAGCTTGGTAAACACAGTTATAACATACCTAAGCTTCAGGTTCAGTCTCGTGAAAATACAATAAAGTTAAACGTAAAATAATGCTACTTATCAATAGTAAGTAGCTTGAGCAAAAGTATAAAAGACACCGGTTTAACGCATTCGTTGAATGCAGTCTTGTCAACCATCATGACGGTTCTGTCAAAACATTCAATAGAAACCGCCTTAACACTTTTTTTGGAAAAGAATATAAAGGTGGTGACCTTCGTTACAAACCAATTAGCCTGTCACATGTGAAGAGAGTTGGATGCAGTAAATCTGAGTGGAGGCAAGTACTGAACCTGCTGTTGTCTAGAGACAGTAAAATTACAGTTTGAGTCTGTGAAAGTTGAAAGTGATATGCAGCAAATTTTTTTCTGTGGGTTTTAAGGCGCGATTTTTGACATTGCAAGCAGCAACAGGTAAACATTTCTTTCTTGTTACCTATAACCTCACCTGTCAATTTCCGTTCGCTTTTCAAAGCAAGTACATTGGAAAAACAGACTCAAATTTCTTCTAGGATTCCTCAACGCAGTACGATTGCCAACAGGTTAATAATGTAAGACATCAGAAATGCGTTCAACGTTTCATCTTATGTATCCTTTGATTGTTTATTGATACTTTTACTTTCCCGTTTCTATACTACGTCGAATCGCTCTACCTCTGTTGGCAGATGAGCTCGTACGCGGAGGCCACGGTACTGCCTGGATATTCCTTATATTCTAGGCTACTTGATAGCTATCAGGAGAATCCAGGACACGGGTTTCTTCCTATTTCGGACTCATGGGCTTGATGTACCTGCACCCCAGTGAGTGATGTCGTTTCCACTGAGACTACGACAACAATAACAACGGAAAGCAGCTGGACAAGTGGTGGCTTTCTTGACCCAGAGGCGTAGTGGGTAACCCTTTGGTGTTTGAAGCGATGGGTACTAGGTTTGAGTTCCACTGGCAACAGCACCACTAACTGTGGTGCATGTACATCCAACTGAACGAAATGCCCGCAATGGGTTTCCCTGTCAGCTATCAAATAAACTACAATATCCTCTGATTCTCAGCAACCATTTCACATAGAAAGGTATTTAGAAGGAAACTAATAAACTCTCCGTCGTCCTGATATTGGTTTCTGGTCAAGGAAATTCTTTTACATCTTTTGTTTCCATTAAGATAATAAGCCTCCATGAGTTGCTGAAAATTGTCCTTCAACACTTCTGTTATTCCTGTGACTTGAAATAACTAGTAACGGTGCACTAAAATTTGAGGGTTGCCACTGTAATTTCCTTTGCATCTTCAAAGTTTCCAATTGTACGGCATACCGATCTTACTGCACAATGCTTGTCTAATCTGTTTTTTATACAATACCAAATCCTCGAGTTTTAAAAAATCCTCATATACTTTTATATTAATGTAACAAAATGTACCAATACTATTCTGTGACAAACAAGCTATGGATCGGCTGACTAACTTTAACAAACAGACTGTTTTGAAAGTAATTTTAGTTGCAGATCGACACTGAATGAAGAAGAATTGAAAACTAGGGAGTATATGACAGTTGGTTTACCATTGCCTGGTACCTTTCAAAGGAATAAAAATGCTAACTAGTTGGGAATCATATCCAAAAGCTTTCATATATTTAGGCAAGCACGTCATCATTTCTTCATCCACTGAGTTGATCCATACTGATTCATTTTATCCAATCGAAAGAACCATGCGAGTTATTGCTACCGGCATCCAATTTTATTCGTAGGAGTCAACCCCCGATTCTGACTGAACTGGTCCCACAAATTTGTGTTTATCACAATGACTTTGAAGATTATATCTTGCCGTAAGCGACAACCAACACTGATTGCTTATGATGATGATGGTGGTTATGTTATGGAAATTACTTGTCCAGAAAGAGTTTTCACCATGATTCTGGTCATATTATGCCTACAAATCAATGAGTATGGGAGAGAAGATCGCTAAATTCGATCCCGGTATCTAGCAATTTGGATAGTCGTTAGTTTTAATCTAAATGTCAGTCGCAAACTTGGGCGATATGTTTGTTCAACTTTCCCAGTTTCCATGTTCTCTCCATGTGATGTCAGTCATGGCATAGCGTCTTCAAATCCAATTACTTAAACAAATACTTTGAAAAGCTATTGACTTACCGATATGGATCTCTTTGTGAAAAGCATGACTTTCGACCACTCATGTCTGATTTGTACTTTAAGCCAGAAACATCTACAGTGGCTAACTGACCAAATCGAAGTGCGAAACTAGTAGGCAAATAATTGAAGGCGTAAGTTGGGAATGTATCTGGATTATGCACAATCACATTGATTCCATCATATATATCTGATGAAAACAATTCATCCTATGAAAGGAAATGAGAGTATGAAATGAAAATGGTGAAGATTTGTCTTTTCATAAAGAATTTCCCAGGGAAATTCCATCACCGCATATTGCAATCTCATTTAAACGGTGCCACTACACAGATCCCCTTTCAGTTGAAGTAATCACAGTATTACATATAAACAATTTAATTGATAGGCTCAAAAATCCTGTTCATCGATGCTGTCTACTCTGTTAGTCAAGTTTTCGCCGCCATCGATAGAGGGAATAACTTCCCGAAGTGATACGTACTACCACAAAACAGTAGCGCAGTTTGTTAATATCATGCTGACATAATAAGTCCTTGAAATTTAGTCATAAAAATCCTGAAATGAATATCAAACTAGGTAATCGGAAAGGTTAAAGCAATATTTGAAAAATGTAATTAGCGTAGTTCTTACGAGAAGCTGTTTGTCAGGATTCGAACTTCAAGAGAACATTAACATCCACCAAAGTGCTTTTACCTCCGAATGACGGGTAGGGAACAGTGCTCCTTACTACTAAGTAATATCAAGAAGTTATGCGTACCACACCAACTAGAAGAGCAAGCAATATAAAATCACCTGGAAACTGAGCTAAACAAAAGAATTTTGTTCAACATTAGAATTGTAATGGACTTAACCTGTGTAAAGATTTTACCTTGGGGAAATATGCTGTTTTTTGCACACCCCTATTAAATTATTACGTCTTCTTTTCCTATGGTATATCCTTCTACTTTACCAGTCTAGTATTTGATTGACGAACCGTATTCAACTGATTTAGTGTATTATGTCATGCAACTTGGTTACTTAATCTTCTTATCTGCTCCTCTACTTTACCAGTCTGCTGAAGTCTACTCAGTTCTCTCAGCTGTATTACATCATGCAACCTAGTTACTAAACCTTGTTTTAACTTTAGATAACTCTTTGTTCTAACATTAAGTAATACGTTTTCTGAACATCCAGATCTTCAGTCAGAAGTGAATTTTGTTAACATGCATCTGGAAATAATCCTTTAATGTTCCCAAGCAAACGATATTTGCAGGCTGTTGTACACTTTGAAAATGAGTTACTAAAAAGAGTAACTCTTCGTTGAATTCCTTTTTCTTATGACTCAGATACACTAACTACACTTTAGCAAGTCACTCAAGGGTTGTTTCGAATGGAAATGGAATATCTTTGAGAAAGATCTTACTACTCCGAGTACAAATAAATTAACCTATAGACCAAAATGTACAAACATGTTAGGATACTTGGAAGTAATGTGCGGAAAGCCCTGAACTAAGGTTACGTGCTTCTTAGTATTCGTTAGCAGGCAGCATCTCCAAACTCCAGGGAACTGTTACTATCATAGAGATCTAAATCACCGTCACCCAGTACTGTAATCATAAATTTCACCACTGTTGTGTTTTGGCAGAGATAGATCTACTGTGTGACTGGACCAGATATCCCGACTGGGAGATAGTTGTCTGTGGGGAGCCAAGTTTCGTTAAAAGTACAGATACACTTTGCTGACGAGCACCAACAAGCAACAGCCCAAGAGCCAGGACTTCGTACTGATCCATCACAGCAAACGTTCATCGAAACAGCAAATCTTCTAATCTACTGATCACATTGCAAACTTGGTCGATATGTTTTGGTCAGCTTTTAAGGGTATATCACACGGCATCGGCTGCTTTCTAGTGTCTTATTAACTCTAAGAAGCTCGAGGTGAACGATGTTTCATTTTCTTATTCACCCATCATCACCCACTGGTAAAGATATTCAATGCACGATTTATCACTTGTTACTTTATTAACAAAAGAAATTCAATATCATCAAACCATCTTTTTATAAATAATCGAACATGAAATTAGCATTATTCCGAGCTATCATTAACGTTAATTATTAAATTTTAAAACTTAAGTAGCTTTTACGCCTTAGAGATTATTTTACTATTAGAAAATGTTAATTTTTACGTTGCTAAATTCGGAAAATGCTTCATAAGAGTTAAAAGAATAAATGTTTTTATTGAAATTCACCATGTTTTATTTACTGATTAAACTGGCTGAGATAGTCTTGGTTGGTTGATGTTACGCGAAACGGACACTTTTAGAGAAGTTATTAATAGTGATAACCACGCACAACTCTTGATGACTCAGTTGCAGTTAAAGAATGGATAACAGTTAGGTTTTACAGCTCAGTCAATAAGATTTCTCGGACCAGTATTCTTGAGACCGATGATCTGAGTCACACCTCAACTCAAATTTTCTGTCACCTTCAATAGGCATTACAGTAACTACTTTCTTTGCCTGTTTCCTTCCTTCAATCATCCTGAAGTACAGATTTAATTATTCACAATGAGAAAATTATCACCATCAGGTTTGAATGCATAGTTCTGAAGACGTCTGCATCATTCAGTCACAAATGGCTCGATTATTATTTAGATACAAGGAGTACTATGTTTCCTGATCAAAACATTTTTCTCTAGGAGTGGAGCGATATTATTCAACAATAAGAAGTTCAATTCTTTCATCTGGCATTCTGATAACAATATGAAGTATTAAGTGCGTAAACAAGAAACAAAGAAGTGGATAATTGATGTATTTATAATAATATTTTGAAGTCCTAAATGGATGGACCTAATTTGTCTACTAATAAGGTAACACCCAGAGCAGTAAATTTTCGATCACACGTTTTGTTGTTTACTCTATAGTACCTTCACCTTAGGAAACATTTTTAAATGGAAGTGAATTCATTTTCTGTATCATTACAACAGAGTAGAATTATTAGGTGATTCCGTGCAGTTAACCTCACTTTTCACAGTGCCGAATTTATTTTTTTAATGAGGCAAATAGCCACTGTTTTGTAAGAGTCATTTATGCTGTATGCATTGCTGTATTTCTTCAGTGACTTTCTCATGTTATTAAACACTGAATTCTACGTCACAAAACAGTGTGTGTGTGTGTATACATATATATCTACTATTGGTGAGATTCAAAATGAAAAATAGATAAGTGTCTCATTCTTCATTCATTGCAACGACCATTCACTCAGCTTCAACTTCTAGTCTTATTAATAATCAAATCATATGTTTATAGAATAATTTATTCAACTTACTTCAAGATCATTTAACATAACGAATGGTTTCCCTTTACCATGACGTTTATAAAATATAAATTCTAAACCTTTATTTCCACTGATTATTTTATCATTTGGCGAAAATGTGAAACACTGAATATACCGTAAATGAACTATTTCAGTAAAATTGTAAAACGAACAATCTTTGTCATCATATTTACAATAAATAAAATGTTCATAAGCTTTCATGAAATCATTTTCTGAACAAAAGGAGAGAAGAGGAGAGAAAACTATTACTTACATTTTATTGAAATATGCTTTGTACTATCATAAATAGAATATTAATGAACATTAGTAAGAAACTGTAGTCTATGCTGTGAACACGACGAGATGTCGTTGAACAATGAATGAGACAAAAAAAAAACAACCAAGGAGTTATAAGAGCCTGACTGTTTTTTTTAATTTGACGTACTACCAGTCTTATCAACTTTTCTACGAATGAGTGTAGTCCTGCTCAGTAGTCTAAGTGGTCTAGCACTTGTTGCTTGATGTTTCACGTACTTTTTAGTACCAAAGCAAGATTTCACTAGTTATTATTCACCCTTGAACTGACACTACATATAATAAGTGATCCTGTCTACCAAACTCTTAATCTGGTTAAATGATTGTATGTTTCTTAAGAATACTAAGCGATCCTTTTCACACACACACCACTACCCCGACAGATACATAAGTTATTTAAACCTATTGTAGCGTCACACACTTCCCCAAAATCAATAGCCTAGGTTTGACGACATTGATGCTGACCCTGATAGTTTAACTGGACTCGCTAAGCTGAAGGCACCCGGTCAAGCATCCTCGCCATTTGGCACACTGTCGTGTCACGTTGCACTACCCCCATTCGACTCTCCAACCAGTTAGTTGGAATGCATCGGTATTTTGGCACAACCATCCAAATATACTATTCCATCCCACTACGCTATCGTGTTCTTCCTTGGTCTCGTATTCGTGGGCATATAACGAGTCCGAATAATTAGTGATTGGACTTTGCGTCTGTCAAGTTCGCAACAGGACAAATCCTAAATTGGTGAGTCCGACGTGATCACATATCCCGACCAACAACAAATATTGAATTGGTGAGCCTGTTCCATTTTATATTTGTATATTGTTTTCATTTCGACAACATTTATATATCCATTTACTACACTTTCTCATGTCCGACCACACTCCCAAGCTTATTCGTATTAAGCCGACTACGAACACGATCCAACTCGTGCCATATTGGCCAGACAATGCGGAAACATGGTTTCTGAATGCCGAGGCAGATTTTCTAGAACAGGGTGTCTCAGATCCTCGTTCTCGATTTCTTGCCGTCATACGTTCACTACCGCGAGAATTAAACAGGCATGTTACAGCACACATGTTTAATCCTGAAGTAAGTGATCCTTATGCACTTCTTAAGGCCGCGCTGTTGAAGAAAAGCGATCTGACAGATGGTCAGCGCCTAGACGAATTGCTTCGTAACATCGAGCTAGGCAGCCACTCAGCTACTGAAGTCCTCGCATGCATGCGAGAAGTAATCGGAGCACGAACATTCGACAATGGCCTTTTCCGAGAACTATTTCTCTGGAAACTACCACAACCGATGCAAACCGTGTTGGTGACACTGCAGTCAGTCCCACTCGATGACCTGACAGCCTCGGCAGATAAAATACTGGAGATTTCTAGTAGACCCGTCTCCAACGTATATTCTGTCTGCGATAAACCAAAGAGCCAGGATTCAGAGGTGACGAAGCTGTGCAACTCTGTGAAACTATAATGATCTTTTTCCTACTAAGTGACTGTGCAGTGCGACTACTGAAGAGTGGGAAAAAGAGAAAACCATGGTTCCACGGGTACATCTTATCATGCGTAATTATAGGAGAAACAAGCAGGCATCAGTCGTCATCGACAGAAGTACGTATTTATCTTAGTGGTGCACACATATTCAGTACATGAACTGGTTTGCAGGCACTAGTTGCTGTTGCATTCTGGTTCCGTATCAGCTGATATATGTACCGAACCATTATAGGGTAGCAAATAGATTAAATGAAATGGTATTACACTGAACTACATTAGATCTTGAATAAGATGGAGAGAATAATTAATTGATTACCTGACGAAGTCTTCACATTCCACACGCAAATCAGTTAATAATTTACGTCACCACTTACAACTGGAAAACTTTATCGCTTGTTCTGAACAGATCACTATAACATCTTAGACAATGAAACTTCATTGACCGGTTTTAGTTCTCATAGCGAACACAGGGCTCATCATACTTGATTTGACCAGTGCTAAGAGGCATCAAACCTAATCGTGACGATTTCATTGAAAACATGCATTCAACCTTCATTTATTCCTGAATACTTGGCATCATAGCTAAATGTTTCCATTTTTCATTGTCTTTTTGGTTGACATCGTATCTGTATGACTATTTTGTAACCGTCAAGTTTCCACTACCACTGATTTTTATAACCTATCAAACCACAAAGCTGAGAAAGCATGATTATCTACGCTTATAAAATCCATATTTAATTTTTTAACCAGTTCTTCATAGTTAAGTTAGAAAATATTGAATTCTATAATATCAGAGTAGCCCATAACCGTCGGACGAATTCACATACTAGGTGCTATTGTTTATCTATTGCAATGAATGGAATCAGTGACTACATTTATCTATTTATTACCATATATCTACTGTTCGGCAAAGGAAATATTCGAGAAATTTCTCTGTGCCACGTTCGCTGATATTCTTTTGTACTGTATCATCTTACTAAGTCAGATCCTGATACTGTTTTTCTTATTAATGACAGCTATTTTTGGGAACCGAAATTTCTTGACGAGATATTTTATTTTTAAGAAGAGCAAAGAACAACCTGGGTGAATTCCAGGCTAATGCTTAGTAGCCTCTCATTTAAAGAACCTGAACTTCTTTGTTAGTCACTAAATGAAGCTTAGCATATACTGTCTAACCAAAAGACAATGAACCAACACAAGATCTCATACAAAAGTTAGCTTTTAATTTGCCGGGATTTTTAATGATGCAGCGATAAAATCATCTATCTGCCATTTTGTGTCATTAATGTGGCGTAAAATGTGGAGCAAAAGTGAATTGATTCAAGTTATCGAATGTTTGTAAACCCTAAAGAGGTGGTACAAGTTAACTGAGTCAAAACATCACAGAAAGAAATGTGAAGATGAAGGACGATCGGACGGAGAGCAAAATACTGAAAACTAGAAAGACTTGAATTATTCCAGTTGTAATAAAACAACCCTTAATCACCAACCACGGTCTCAACTTGTTAAATAAGATAAAGTGCGTACACTCATATGGCTAAAATGATTAAAAAGGCATGTGCAACACACTATAGATTACTGGTGTTGAAGAACTGGTTTCCTCAGAAAAACCATTTTAAGCGTACACAAGTGTGAACTTTTGTGATAAAAAATCGGTTTTCTGTATGTATCTTGGAAAAAACACTTGTTACAATATTATTTTTACCACCTATATTTTTACACTGAACCAGTATTCAAATGGATGTTTACACCACAAGGTATTGTTAATAATCTAAACTTACTTTAGGTTTGATATCAATATCAGGAAAGTTCTGATAACTTTACTTTAGATATCAAATATTTGCTTACATAGGATTAAAGAATGCCTATCACATAAAACCCCCTTTCTTCAGGTAGTCTGAGCATCTTTTAGAAATAAACAAATCAACTTAGCCACATAAATGAACATTCGCGTGGTTTGCAGTCTGACGAGTATCAGGTAGAAATATCCAAGTGCCTGAGGTGTTTTACCATTGTAAATTTAACTACTAATAAGTAGGCTAGTACTGGAAAAGATATTTAACTTCACAGATTTCCGACATTTTATTCCTGCCTCGTCAATATCATTTTTAAAAAGAATAACAGCACTCACCTTGTTTCATGACCATCTGGATTAGTAAAGCAGCTTCAATATTAGATTTAGTTTGCTTTAAAGATGAATCTCCTAACTTTTTACTTATTAAATTCTCAATTGTTTTTAAATCATAATCTGTTGTATTTTCATTGTTCACTTTCGCGTCATCCACATAAAATGGTACTTTAGCGCAAATTGTTACATCAGGGAAAATCATAACATCTTGTTCAGCTTTAATCTGTGTAGCCACACGAGCTGAGTCGTACTGTTCAAAAAGATTTGAAGCCATCATAATGTTAATGACCATGATAATAATAAATACTATAATCCAAAATATTGCCAAGAAACCTTTTCTTATATCCACATGTTTTAAACCATTCTCTTTGCCACGTGCATGTAAAAACAATCTGTCTGCGAGTTTTCGATGATATGCAATATAATACGGCAAATTTGAAACTTCTCTGGGTTCATCAATGAATTCTGGCTCAGTAATTCCTTCAGTGTAAGCTTTTATATTTCCTATGGACTGAGTTGGCAAATATTCTTCTGTATTAACCGATACTAGTTTTGGTTTAATCCAGTTATTCATTATTTCACACTTAGCATATCAGTATCAACCAGTGATGTACATAAACATGTTCATTTTCCGGCTGTAGTGGTTATGTTTGAAATCTTCCCAAAAAATCGATAAATTATATTATACAACGAAGCGTCAATCAGAATAGATTACAATATCCCACTTCTTAAACCTTACTCTTTCCAGCCTCTTCAGTTCAAGTTCATTCTGTGCAGTTATTCAGTCATAATCTCTGACTGTTTTTTGTTTTTTGGATTGTAAATGATTTCTTGAGGCCAGTGGACAGACATCAACAAGCATACCCACGCTTTACTCTACAATTATCCTTCAAATAACTAAATAAATATGATAACTGGTCCTCAAAATGGATGTCTATATGGAATATGATATAACCTTTCGGTAGTTAGCTTCCTCTTTTAGCGGTTTTGAGAACTTCTAAGTAATAAGCTAGAAAATGGCGCTAATTTCTTAACAACACCCCAGAGTTCTCACAACACAAAGATATATTTCCCGTAATAAATGATTTTTGCTTGTTATATACAGATAGAAACTGTGAGTTGAGTAGATTTGAAGAACTCCAGAATATACGATGCATGGTGAGAAGTGTTTACAGACGAGTCAGATGAAGTAAGAAATAAACAGAAGCACTAGGCAATCATATGAAATATCTAAACAAACTGACAAATGAGTGAAACAAGCTGTCGTAATAATAACAGATGAAGTAATGGTGAAACAATAATCGGTATGAATAGGGATGTGGATAAGCATACGATAGAAGTATCTAAATATTGAAAAAGGTACGATAGTGATAAGTCGCTGATTACTGTAGCAAGAGATTAGTAACTGCCTTCTTCTGAATATACTACTCCCGTTGAAATTATCGGATAGTGGCAGTTTTGGCAATCCACGGTAAACAAGAAGTCGTCATTGTGTTTACTACCACAAAGCAATTCACTGTATCTACTTGATGGCTTCTATAACATGCATGATGAGCCATTGAACTACTGAATGAGGATAACCTATCAGAAATAAACTCTTTGGTTTGTCCTTCCCATTCCTATTAGATAACTGTCTCTCTGTCTGTTCCATTTACTTGCTTCCGAATGCAAATGTGAACTGATAAATACTCTGGGAGTCAACAAAAATCGGAAACCTGACCGATTTAGATTGTGTGATTGAACACAGATATTTCATACAGTGAGATAGGTCTCGTAGTTGGATAGATCTTCGACAGTACACTCCTAATTAGCCTACTGATAAAAGTAAAAGTAGGAAACATCGATTTCTTTTCAACAGAGTCACACTCGTTTTAATTTTGTGGTATTTGTGCACGAACTTCACAAACAACTGTTGTTGCGTAGACATTGTTCGATTGGCTGAAGTTCTTCTTAGGAACACAATCTCTCTACTCTGTTACATTATGACATTCTGTCTAAACTCCTCTTGCAGCTGACTGGGCAGAAACTGTTAAAGTTTAAGTACTGACCACCCCGTACGGTTTTGGGGTAAATACTCTCCTGAAATGCACCTCAAGCATAAGTCGCGTGAATGCAGTTCCTCTTCACATTCTTTTTTAAATTTAAAACTGGGTGTGCGCTATTGAAAGGCTGGAGCAGCTTCTTTGCTTGTTTGACGTTTTGACAGATAATGAATAGACCGTCAACATACCTGGAATAAAACCTGTTTTTAATGACTGCGGGTTGTAGAATAGTCTGCGATACAGCAGCTTAGTGATGGAAAGAAACAAATGTCCACAAAACTTTCACGAGTTTCCCACCTCTGATGATGAAGACATGTTCTAACACTCCAGTGAGAAATGTTCACATACATTTGAGGATATTTCTTCGTTGATACTTAGTGGCAAGGCACCAGGTTTCCCAATATTTCAAGGAGAGGAAACTTCAACGGGGATTCTGGTATGCATTTTGAATAGTTCAAACAAATTATAATAACAAATTCTGGGCTAGCTAATTGACCAACCAATAAACTTAGCATAAAATCCAGTTGACGACCTGTTTGCAGTCAGTTAAAAGGTCTCAATTAATCGCCAAATCCCCCAACAGAAAAACCTCATTTTTAAACAAGTGAATTTTACTTTCCTTGAATTTTTCACTACTCTGCAACTTCATCTCATAGTGAATATAACTGGAATATTCATAGCGTGTTACGGTTGGTTTGTCTTGACCTTTTACGACAATGTTTTGTGATGGATGTTTGGTTATTCAAATGGGAGAAGGATTTGATTAAAGTTCAAAGTCTTCATCCTAGGCATTTGATGATTGCATTGAATCATACAATTATTTCCGGTGGTTCTCAGTCCAAATATAACTTGAACAGCATTTATTGGATTATATTTTGAGCTGCTTACATCCTTGACGTGCCCACACACGCATACGGTAGTCATTTCGATTAATTGTTGTATAACTACAATGCGAAATAACCAGACTAGCCAGATTAAATAAATAAACACATACTTTGTCTGGATGACATAAATCTAAAATTTGTCTTGTTTACTGAAATATATAATATGACAAAAGCAAGGGAGGGACGAAGTAAAATGATTACATGAATTTAGTGTAAAATGTTGTCTAAATTAGCCACCCGTATTCAATTTGGCCTAGAGTTATCTTCTATGTGTTTATTTGTGTTTATATGTGTATCTGTCTACACTGTTTATATCCAACTAGCCGTTTGTCCATGTTAGACGAAACAAAGAATAGACAAGAGCAAGCTTAAATATGTCTATTCTCCTCAATTCCTGTGTCACCATCAGAATATATTGACATAAATGAAAGAAAGGTATACAATGACAATCAGAAATAGAATTACATCAATGGAGAAAACAATCTTTGGTAGTAATAAATATCCAACAAATGTAAGCTCATTATGTAAAAGAAATATCACAAAGAATAAAGGAGTTATTTGTTGACACTTGTAATTCACTGTTATTAAACTGGGTCGAAATGATCGACCCACGTTGATGCTTCGATATCGTTGTTAAAATTTGCTTGATGGTAAGTAGCTATTTTCAGACTTGTCAGCTGGATGTACTGGCACCTCAATGAGTGACGGTGCTCCTGCTGAGACTTATTCAACTGACGAATAGCATATTGGAAGAGATCAGCGTCCTCGATTCCAGTGCTACCCACCAACAAGTAAATTATAAGAATAAATGAAGTTTAAAGAATTAATTATTAAGTCTACATAATATTTTTTTTGCTAAAGTGAAATTTAGTATCCATTTTTAACCACACATAATAAATATTGCAGTCAAAAGTGATTTCAGGTGAACTGAATATGAATGTATATCTGTACCAAGAGGTTAGTAAGATACATAGATTGACTATCTACCAACACTGAAGCGCTTCTGAGAATGAACGTATCGCAAGCTGAATAACTTGCTCTTACATTTCATATAGTAAGAGTTACAGTTTTTCATTCAAATCAATGTATAGCACAGTTATTATTGTTATTCAGATTTTGTAATTTCACGGCTTTTAGTCAAATGATTGGCTTTAAAAATATGTGGGCATTTTTGTATGGTAACTTCGATAATCAAATGGTTTTCATTTTACTTATATTGAGTTGTTCTTGAATTCAGTACACGCTTTCGTTCAGATTTAGGAGTGATCATCTGGATGCATCTGAATCTTGTCAAAATTTAATTGGTATTCGATTTTACACATTGTTTTACTAATATTTATCAACCAAACTAATTGACCATCATCCCCAGTAGGTGCAATTCATACAATATGTTAATAACCATAGGCACTTGGCTTGTTGACTACTCTATCCACTCTTGTACTCTTTATGGTATATTGATAATTTCACAGTTTTTCCCACCTTAAGGTCACATAAATGATGGATAGGTGTGACCACTAGGCATTGTTACCAACGTCAATCATATAAATCTGTCAACTAATTTATGATTTAATGTCAAACAGCCCGTTGTAAGGTTTTCACCATTTATCATAACAATAGTTGTGTCATCAAAATTCAATCTCCTCGACAATAACTATTATTTCTCAATTTGGATTCAGGTATTTATTTATTTCAAGGTTGTGTTATTTCTTAGTCCGACTGAGGATGACCTGTATTAAATATGAAGTTACATAACTGGATGGGAATAAAACTGTCAAGCTTTACTTATTTATCATCTTGAAGACCGATTAGCGTTGTTTGACCTTTAACCTTAAAATTGAGGTCAAAGAATTAGGTTACTCTAGTGCGTGTTAAGATAAAGTGTTCGCATCCCCTATTCCAAAAAGATTACTTGACATTTTGGTCATTTAGCTATAACCTTGCAGACGAACACTAAAAATAATACTTTTGTATGACTCAGAATGACAATAAAATGTTTGATAAAAAAGCTGTCTAAAAAGTCCAAAATATGCAGTGCAGTAGATCTCCACAATGTTTTCACACTAATGAAGGCCTGTCTCGCTTTTCCCATCCTGCATTTGACGTCCTCATCTGTGCGGCAACCAACACCGCCTGTAGTTGAAATGATGCTGCCTGAGCAGGTAGGTGAAAGAGACTACTTCCCCCAGATTTCTCCCGTCAATGGTAATTAGTGCTTGTTGTTGTTGTTGATGTTGTTGTTATTGTTGGTCGGGTATCTTCTTCATCACCTCTGTCTTATCTATGTTCATCTGAAGGAAGTCCCGTCTTCGCTGCTCTGCATCGCCTCTTCTGCCAACTTGTCAGTTTTCGCCTGCACATATTCGAGTTTGTGCCACAAGACATTAGACATAGATCATCGTCGGCGAAATCCAAATCTTCTTCTGGGGTCTTTCCATTGGTCCAGTCAGCGTATGCCCATCTACTCGCTCCTCACGGTTTGTTGCATGATCCAGTCAGGTCCAGTCGAGTCGAGTCGAATCGAGTTGACCACAATCAAGAAGATTATTAGTGATAGTAGGCGGCAACCTTGTCTTACACCTATCTTCACTTCACTTCACTTCACTTCACTTCGAAGGCATCATTGAGCTTTCCATTGTGAATCACTTGGC